AGTGAGGATCGAACTCACTACACAGTCGTAATTGTTCTAGCTAGGCAAGCTTTCTAACCATTACGCCAACTCGAGGTGCCCCACTTGTAAAAATATAGATGGGGCAATTGCGAGGTCATGTCTACATTTTTTAAATCAGCCTTCAAAACCATGGGTTTGAAATCCGCTTGTTCATCTATCATTAACGATTGCAGTAAATACACAACTATTTACTAAGAACTTTTTTTTTTTTTTTTAAGCATTGTGCCCCAAGCAAGGCGTGAAGCCACTAGGATGCAGGGGGTTGCGGAAGATTTGGAGCGAGAGCAGATAGGACTGATAGGAGAAAGGAAGAGGAGAAGGATAGTGGGTAGATCAAGGTAATTGGAGATGTCGATTGACATTACATTTGAATAGTTGGAGATTATAGCTTTCAGGGAAACAGTAATTGGGGGGGGGTGTTCCACTGGCGAGAGGTGCGAGGTATGAAGCTATTGGAGTAGAAGAGACGGCTACATTTGAAGGTTTCTACGGTGTAAGGGTGAGAGCTGGATGCCAGCCTCTTAGGGCGCTTGAATTCATGGAGTCTGGGAACCAGAGAGAGCAGCTCATCAGAGCAGTTACCATGGAAGTATTTGTAGAAAAGACAGAGAGAGGCGACGGCGCGTCTGTGAGAGAGTGACTGCAGACAAGACGCTAGATCAGGGCCAATTAGATTACATATCCGTCTCTGGATCTTGTCAAGAACTCCGAGGTAAGCAGAATGTGCTCCAGCCCATATATGGCAGCAATACTCCATGCAAGGGCGAATGGTTGTTTTGTATATTTGAAGTATCGATTCAGGGGAGAAAAATTTCCTGGCGCGGCACAGAGAGCCAACTTTCCTCGCGGTGGGAGAAGCAATTGACTCAATGTATTTGTTCCATCTCAGATCAGCAGTCAGCGTGAGACCGAGCAGACGCAGGGAGTTGCTCTAAGGAAGTTGACTATCAGACATTTTAATGGGGGGCAGGGAAGGATCTCTATGGTGGTTAATGGAGAGTAATTTAGTTTTTGTGGCGTTAAAGTTAACCAGCCAATTCTTGCCCCAGTTAACAACCGATTAACTACGACAAAAAATATATTCTTTTAAATTGGTGGCCTGACTAAATAAATTTAAGCGTGTTACTAGATTAGCATGTTGGTCTCATTCGTATTCTGTTGAAATAGCTAAATGCAACTACTCCAACGGTGTCTTTTCTCGCACTTCTCGCCTGTGGAACTCTCTTCCGTTTACTTGATTCGACGATAGCTACAATCTTCATTAATTTAAATGCAACGTCAATCGCCATCTTTTATCTTCTTGAATCCTGTTCATCTTTTGTCCTTTCATCAATCATTTCTATACTCGGTCTTTTGTCTCACTTTCCCTCACTGTACTCCCCTGGGTACTGGTGACATTTCCGTCTTGCTTAGGGTAAAATGATTCATCTCATTTTTAAAAAGTAAAGTGTAATTACCTTTTATTCAAATTATACATTTATCTCTATTTGCAATGACTTGCTGACACATATCAAACAGCTATCGATAATTTCTACAAGTTGAGATGCGAAGAAGATTATCATTAGAGAAAGTTTTCCCTATCAAAACCGTTTTGCAGCGTTCAAATAATCGGTTCCTGTAAGCTCAAGCGAATATGGCAGTTTGGAAAGAACAGTCTGACTGAGTTCTAAAATGCTTTCCTGTTATTACTGCTGTATGCGGCCTTGGGCTGTCATGGAAGAGAATCTACATTTAATCCATTGCATATGTTGCTACTGCTAAAAAAAAAAAAAAAAAAAAAAAAATCACTAAGATAAGTTTTGTACTCCAAATTTATTCTTAAGTGCCAAATACGATTAAGGGTCGTCATTAGAAGTGGTTACCAAAAACGAAAATCAATTATAATTCAGCATATTAAATGTTATATATATTTATATAGAATTCTCATATACAGGGTACGATGGATAAATTGTTCTCCAAACTACGCAAAAATGAATATAAAACATACATCTAATTTTAACAGATATATTTCCCAATATTACAAAAATTATCTTGAAATACAAAAGAGTAAATTTATTTAATAATATCGCCATTGGTTTCAACAACGGTCTTGAGGCAACTTCGGGATCTCCTGCAACTTTTCAAGATTGTCTTCCTGTTTAAGTTGGTGAATGTTGTCATAACCCTCGCCTTCAGTTCATCTTTGGTGTTACAAGGAGTTTTGTTGGTCTCTCGCTCAACTTCACCCTACATGCAAGGGGGTTGCAGTCTGGGAAGTTAGGTGGCCAGATCGAAGGGGTGATGTAGTCCCCGAAAAGTTTCTGACAGCCATGACAGGGTTCTCCAGCTTGTGTGGCATGGTGCATAGTCCTGTTGCCAGACATTCGTTCTTCAATCAGACACCCTCTTGGTCCAGGGCGACACTACCTCCTCAAGGCACTTGATATACGCCTCCGTGTTCAGGCTGTTGCCTTGTGGGAAGAAGCATGAAGACATAAGGTCACCATCACACATGATCACTCCAAACGCCATGATGATGACTGGATATATCCGAATCCTCTTCACTGTCCTCGGTTTGACACTTAAACACTGGGAAATTGGAGCTTCCGGTGCGAATGCCAAGCAGTACAGAATGCCGTTTCCAAATTTCTGGTGGTGCTCTTTTTCCCGCAGACGGTGCCCAACACACCCTATTATACGGTACAGTCTGCAAAATAAATAAAAAAAATACGCATGCACAAAATTAAAAACCTGTATACTTGACAATCATTGACAATCTGCTTTTCAATACATAAATTTAAAAATTGTTTCAGACATAATTGTTCTGATATTTTCAAATAAAAATCAAATTCTGCCATAATTATCTTTTATTAATTACGGATGAAATACTATACTATGAAATATAGAAAACGTATTTATTAATTAATTGATTTGTTTTTACGGCTTTATTACTTAAAGCCAGAAAATATTCTTAGATTGTAAGAATTTTTTCATGGGGATAATTGTTTAGGGATACAAGTTTTATTAATTAATCTACAGCTGGTTGAGAAGAAGTGGATTCATAACTTTTCCAAGGGTTTTTGTACGTAAGTGAATATAGAGAACGCAAGTGTTATTGGAACTCGGATCTCCGATTAACAAAGGGGAGCGTTTATCCATTGCACCGTCTGCACGCCCAAGCAGTCACTCATCTAGGTACTGATCAAGCTTAGCCTCTTCCGCTGCGTAGACGAGTGTCTTCGTTTTTACCAAAATCTCCTTTTCCAGCACGGACAAATAAACACGCCCGAAACACCATTAAAAAACAGCTATAGACGTGTTTATACGTCGACCTTGATTTTTTTTTATTTCCCTTTTGACCTTGAAACGAATTATGTATAGTTGTCAGCCACTGCTCGAGTACTTCAAGGTGGTTCAGTTTCTTAGTTACTATATTAAAAACAAATTAAAAAAATCGTCTGAAAATGAAATAAAATTCCCAAAATAATTAGCGGGGAAGGGGTTACATTCGGCGAACTTGCGGGAACTGGTATTTCAACATGATATGTCTGTAAATCCCGGAGAACGGATTTTGAAGGACGTTTTAAAATATCCGGCATTTCATATGTTATGAATTAATATGGCTGATTTGTAACTGCATATAACGGCTCTTTTTGTCATATTGATAGGATTCCCTGCAAGTTGTTCGAATACCATCTGCGGGTCTAATGGCATTTAATCCAGGGTAATTTGTTCCTATTTAACTATAAGAAACGAAAAGATTTAACAAAACGTTTAGATAGATATCGTTCGGTTAAACCGACTAAATCGCTGCTATTATGTGAACCAATCAACAGTGAAGCTCGTTAATGGCGATTTTCTTTGTGCAAGTGGGAGCCATGAGCGATCTTTTCGGTAAATGATAATCAAGGGATCAGGCGTTACGTCGACCAGGAATAGTGTTGGGAGCTCCTGGGAAGAAAAGAAACCGTAAAGTTCAGTGTAGCGTAAAACATGATAGGAAGAGCGGTGAATGATTGGGGAAAGTGTGTAAGGACATTCCAGCGGGGGGCCGGTAGAAAATTAATGATAACGATTAAATAGGAAAGGTTCCTATTGCGCAGATGCGACCTCTGCGTCTTAGGAGAATCGAACTTATCTCTTTGACATTTTTGCAAGCAATGCCGACATAGAAAAAAAATGGCTTAGTGGCGAGAGTGAAGGACTGTGACACTTCTCGTAAGATTCAATATGGGCTAAACGAAATCTATCCGGGTCGGAATTTAATATTTTAATGCTCAGCGCTTTTATCTGAACCGATGTAGAAATCTACTGAAGTCTGAATTACAGGCAGCACTTTCTCCATTGTACTGACTCGGAGAAGGTCAGGGCCCCTCTCTGATGTCTGCTGCATTCTAAATATGGATGGGCTGAGAGAACTGTACAATTTCTGGCATTATTTCTATTTATCTATACATGTTCTGCATTAATCGTGACTTAAACCGATTAGTGTAGTCGTATAGAATTTCGCTATGACAGACTTCTTTACGAATCCCCTTATACTGATAAATCATCAGTTACCTCCCCTTAAGTTCTAGGAGGTATAAAAAAAACACCCTGTAATATCCGTCAATAGACGAGTAGTCAGAGTAAAGTGCAATACAGCATTGGTATAAGTTTATTCAGTGGTTCTGTTTTTACAACAAAACTATTGAAATTATGAAATTATTATTACAAGAATTTTGTTCGGAAAATGTATAGATAATAACATAAAACAAATCTCTTAATAATTCTTCTGAATTTCTGGGATGACGGGTAATTATTATTCACACTATTCATGCAGGTTATTAAAAGCCAGGAAATATTGTAAAATTTTGGGGGCAGATAATAATGGTTTCGGGATACATGTCTGTAGCTGGAAGGAGACGAGATGGTATTTGTACGAAAGCAACGGTAATTAGAACTCGGTTTTCAAATTAATAATTCCGAGTCATTATCCATTAAACTCCCGCCTATCCAAGCTTACAGCAACTGGTAATCCCAAGTAGTCACCCATCTAGGTACTGACCAGGCTCGACGTTGTTTAACTTCGGTGATCGTACGGAGACCGGAGTTTCAAAATGTGGTCGTAACGCTTAAACGCAAGGTTTAACTGAGTGTTAAAGAATAGGACAAAAAAAAAGGCTATTAAGAAGAGAGAATAATAAAAGAACAGGAATTAAAAAGACAGAACATAACGATTGACATTGCATTTAAATGTTTGAAGATCAAAGTGGACTGTAAAGGAAGGAGTTCCACAAGCGAGAAGCGCGAGAGAAGACACTATTAGCATAGAACTTACGGTTACATCGAGCCATTTCAATTGTAGAAATGATATAAACCACGTCTGATTGAATGGTCTGGAACGAGTTTATTATTTTTATCTTTTAGGCTGTTCAGAAAACAATTAATTATTTTTCTACTATGAATTATCAGTCAACCAAGCAAAGAAGAATCAAAGTTGAATGTTAGGAAACGGTATCTAGAATTAGTTTACCTTAATTACTAGCCAACAGTGCGTTATCTATAGGGCCCTTCATAGTCGACAAAACTCACAGAATTGATAAAATTCGCAAAGGGGGGATTTGTGTTCCTCGTGAGATTTTGTTCACTCTTCAACCAAGAAAGCATCCCTTTCATTTTTTGTATTACGCTTTTACTTCACGTTCCTTTGGGAAAAGGCTTGATCTGTTAAATATCATCTAGCTCAATCAAAGATTATCCTCGCGAAACCAATAGCAAAAATAATAAGATTATGCCATTCCATCACGATCTCACATTTAATAGTTTCACATTTAATAATAATTTTATAAACAAAATTTGGATTACCAATGATATTCCCTCATAGTGGAGTAATGGCACGTAGTTTCTTAGAATTTCTCAAATCTGGCTCTTTCTAAATTATTTTACCTAAACAATCAACGTACGAAACAAAGTCGAACATAGACTTTACATTCTGAATGTAAAAAAATATATATTGGTGTATGTTTCATTAAAAATATAGACAAGTTTTGTCTAATTCCTTTCATACCATCTGAGAAGCTTAATAACATTATCATTGAAAGACGATAGAAAATCACCATATTGATACATGTTTTTTAATCCTATCTAAGCTTTCGGCTTGCATAAGTCATTACGAAAGATGACAATTACATATCAATATATTACACAATACACGGGCATAGAAATAATGATAGTCTGTTTTTGTTTGCATGGAAGATTTCCAAGCAACGACAAACTCATGCTTACGAGACGCATGAAGTGAAAATCGCACCGCGGCCATGACGCGAGAGTGAAAACGAGAAGTGTTAAGTATGGTAAGCCGTTGGTATAAACCAATGGCTTCCCTTATCAGTTATAGGCATTTAAGTATATTTGTAGAATTTTCATAGTTTATCTTGTTCAGGTTAGGTTTCAACTGTTTTATGTATATAGCTTCAACAATTTTTAGTTTTTATTTATTTATTGTTTTCATGTTTAAGTATAGTTGTGTTTTTAACGAGGATTGTCCGGAATTGTGTATGCGGCAAGGCATGTTGATTTAAAGGCCTGAAAATGTTAGATTTATCATTCAAATGTAGTTATCAAGCGCGTAACAACATGGGATACAAATCGTGTAACAACATGGGATAATTGTCCATCCCACAAAATGTTTAATTACTGAAAAAAAAAACGATTTCTTATCACAAAATGAGAAACCCGTCCCAACATCAAAAATATGACACCGAAAATAAGCAACGTCGTGCCTGTTCAGTATTTTGATGTGTGGCTAATGTGACCTTGGATGTGAGCGTGGTGTAATAATTAATGACAATTTAAGCTTATGCGTTGGTGGTTTAACAGATAGCGGCTTGTAATGAGAAATCGAAGAACCGAGTTCGAACCCCAGTCGTGTTTGTTACATTCACTTTCGCGCAAATAACATTGGGAATGTTATGAATCTGTCTATTTACATGGTATTGAGTTACATAGTTGAGCAGGTTGGGCACTGCAAACTTAATTGGCAACCAATCTCGGATAAGGACAACTCCAAATGTAAAAGTGTATATGGCGCTGGCCACGGACAGTCAATATGCAGCGAATAAAACGACTATGGTCGAACCTGCTTGCTTCTTATGACGCCAGATAAGCGATGAAACATATAAAAAAGAACAATTTTTAAATTGAAATTGTCTTAGATATTGTCTTATTTTTACATATATATACATACATATATATATATATATATATATATATATATATATATATATACACACACATATATATATATACATAGATGTATATATACATATCTATACATATATATATATATATATATATATATATATACATATATATACATATATATACTTATATATACATATATATATACATATATATATACATATATATATATACATATATATATATATATATATATATATATATATACATATATATATACCTAATGAAACCTAACCTGAACAAAATAAACTATGAAAACTCCACAAATATTCTTAAATGCATGGAATTGATAACAGAAGCCATTGGTTTTTACCAACGGATTTTCATACTTAATACTTCTCGAATTCACTCTCGCCTGACGTCATGAGCTGCTGTGCGATTTTCGCTTCCAGCGTCTTATATGCACGTGTTTATCGTTGTTTGGAGATCATCCATGTAAACAGAAACAGACTATCATCACATTCTTGTCCGTGTATTGCTTAATATATTGATATGTATTTGTCATCTTTCATAATGGCTTATATAAGCCGAAAGTTTAGATTGGATTAAAAAATATGTATCAATATTGTGATTTTCTTTCTTCGTTTAATGATAAAGTTATTAAGCTAATCAGACGTTATGAAAAGAATTTACAAGACATATTCACAAGAACTGATTAGTAGATGAGGAATAGAATTTCTGAATACGACTTAAAGCAATTTATTAGTAAAATGACCGAATAAAGAATAAATGTTCCGAATGAGTATGAAAGGAAAAAGTATTACTCATACCCTTAAAATAACCTTAATGAGCGTGTTCTTTTTGTTTGCATAGGATCGGTTGATCTATTTTAATATAAACCGCTTTGAAAATCTTCAATGATGAGCGGTCCGAGCACTATGAAACAGTCACAGTTATCCAAAAGGTACTGGACAATTGCTGAATCATACATTCTTGGGTAGCTCTAGAAGATCGACTAAAGTTACCTGCTTTAGAACTTTCAGGAACGTTTTAACCAATACGGCCTCCAGTTTCTGATTGGTCCGTCCTGTATATCCAGCATCACACTGACGTTGAAATTTATATGCGATGGAATTATTTTGCCTGCCTTATTTACAAAATATTTTGTGCTATATAAATTTAAATTTTTAAAAGGAGAAAAATGAGATCAGTTATTCCAATTTTTTTTTGAAAATATCAATTTTATGAAAGAAATCGATTAAATGTTCTTATTTTTAAGGGACGTATCGACAAATGAAACATAACAATTAGTTTAAGCAATAGACGTAAGTACATCGATGTATATGTTTTGTTCTAAATTAGAAATTGGTATCATTTCCCTACCATAATACATTGGCCTAAGAAACATTTTTTTTAGTCAGGAGAAATAAACTACATTCAGTTTCAAAATTTAATTACGTAATCACAACTCAGCATAAATAAACATTTGGAACTAGTATGGCGTAGGTCCTCCATTTCTTAGTTTCAATGCTTGTATTTGATTTTTCATGGATTTGGTCAAGTTATCTCTATCTATAAAAGGCAGGATGCGTGTGTGTGTGTGTGTGTGTGTGTGTGTGTAACGAATGCACGGCCGCAATTTTCGACGGATTTGCACCAATATTTACATGCACATGCTCCAAGTTAGCGGAAAGGGCAAGGTCGACTTTGCATTTCCCAACTCCCATCGATAGCGGAAATAATCGATTTTTTCATGCTTCTACGGCAGTTTTCATGTAGTTTGCGGCCATTTTCTACTGGCCAGAGTGAGAGCCTATAGCTGGCTGCCACGAATAGGCAGGAAGATTCTATTGGCCAGCGTGAGAGCCAACAGCTGACTGACACAAATGTTAACTAGCATGCAAAAAATTCGATAGCTGCATTCGTCAAAAGTGGGAAAAATTTAAATCTGCATGGCACTTTACTACAATTGGCTCATTCGCTTGCTTAAAATCAACGTTGATTCTGATTCCGCAGAACTGGGTTGGGTGTGAAAAAGTATTTGTTGTTAACATTTTTTTTCATTCGGTTTTTCCAGTTACGAGTCCTTTTTTTTAAAGCTGATCGTTTTGTGTTCATTTTGTTTAGTTCTTTTTTCGTAACAGATTTAATGTTTAGTATAGAGCTTAGAAAAAATTCGCAGTGTTAGATAGGCAAGAAGTAAGGCATGTAGCAACATCAGCAAAGGGCACTCCTTTAAAGGCATGGAAGGGCAAAAATATATTAAGTCAAGTGATAGCGATTGCTGTATGAATCAAGCACGAGCACTGACGGGTCATGCTGCTAGTCAAAAATAATCCATATTGTCTGATCCATATTTTGCCAATCCTTTAGCAATGTTTCTTTAAGGGTTGCCACTGACGTGATTTTGGTTGCACGCTCTTGAAGTTTTCTGTCAAGGTGCTCTCAAACGTGCTCTAATGGATTCATGTCAGTAACTTTGGGCTGCCCATAGCAGTGACTTGATTACTTGCAATTCCTTCTCGGCCTTTGCTCAGATGACATGGCACTCCACCTTCTTGAACAAAGTAAAAGTTCTTGTCAATCTGATTGGTTTCAAATAGTCGAAGTAGTCTTTGACAGTATTTTAGACCATTCAACCTCTCGTCAACAAGAATCAGCTCAGATTTCCCTCCAAACCAGACAGCGGCCCACACCATTACTCCAATCCCTCCATGTTTCACGGTCGCCTGCAGACATTCAGTGTTCCAAGTTTCATTCTGATTTCTTCAAATATAAACCTGTCTCGAATTCGAATATTGGCAGAATTTACTTTCATCTGATCAAATTACAGACTGCCAAAATTCATAATCTTTTCTCTCGAATTCTCTCACCCAGTTTATTCGCCTGCTTCTGTTAACCTCTGAAATCAAGGGTTTCTTTCTTGCAAGACTTCTTTGACAGCCTAGCTCTTTCAGAGTCTTTCTCACTGCATATGACGACATTTCCATGCTGTTGATGACATATTTGACGCTTTGACGACGGTTTCTGATGACTTCTCACTTCAGTGCCCTTTTCGTTTGTTCAGGCACGGTGCTTGTCATCCTGAACTTTGTTCCACACGACAATGGGCTTCTTCATTACATTTCTTGACAATGTGATTCACCTTTTGATGAGTAACCTGGAAAAACCAAGCAATTTCTCTATTTGACTTACCACACTGATGCCATCCGATTATTTGTCTTCATTGAAATTCCCCAATTTCCTTACTTCCGCAAACTTTCATTGCAAAATATAAGTCAGCTATCGTTCATAGATGAGAGTAGCTTGATACTAACATGGTATTGTTTGAAAAAAAAAGAAAGAAAATACGTTATTACACAAGCCAAACTTGCTGTAATTAAGGGTGGCTAAAAACTTATCATAGCCCTCTATACAATGCTGTGGGACCGGTTGGCTGACAGAAATTAGCTAAGAAAGCACAAATGTATTTTAATGGTTAATGGTTGTCCCGATATAGACTTCCAAAAAAACATACATATATTTTTTTATTTAATGCTTATTTTGCGATCATTATCACATTGTTTTTTTTTATCGAAATCTGAGTCAATTGGCATGTTATTATGAAGACTAATTCATAAATATTTTTAATATATAGCACTGAAGTTACTAGTGCTATGTACTTAGTACATATCTGAGTCAATAATAATATTAAAAATGTATTGATCCCGAGTGGGCTTGCTGCCATATCACGCTGAAACACTGGTTCTCGTACAATCACCAAAGTTAAACAACATCGAACCTGGTCAGTATCAAGATGGGTGACCGCTTGGGAATACCATACTGTAATCTAGGATGTGCTTGTGATGAAATGAATAATGGCCCGGACTTGGGAATAGTTTCTTACGCGCAAATAACCTTGGGAAAGGTATAAATCCACCAGCTATGCATTAATTAGTACGACATTTATCAGCAAATCATTATCATCTCCTTAAAGATTCTGGCAAGCATAACATATTTTCTGGCTTATATAACCTGCACAGTGTTGATAAGCCGTAAAAATAAATTAATCAGAATATTTTTTGTGTAAAACAGTCACTAAAAATTCTTAAATATTAATGTATAAATTCATAGTACGTTCGATTTTAAATAAAAAATAAAATAGATTTTTTTACAATTCTTTGATATTAAGTTTACAGAACAATTAATGAGTCTTTTAGTTTTGATATATCTGGGCGGGCTTTAAAAACATTCAGAAGGCCGATAGACCGTAAAAAAATATTATCTGTCAATGAAGAGATGCAGATTGCTTTGAGAAAAGCAACAATACGATGAGAACATTTATTCTAAAATATGAAATCAACTATGACATCATATATCTAAGGATCAGGCATCTTTATCACCCTATTTGATGCAATGAGATATTTCGTTCTCATGAAAATGGGAAGAAATAGATTACAGTAAAAAGCTACCATACCTTGGGCAAGAGAGAAGAAGAGAATTTCACCCTAGTTGGTGAACAGATTAGTTTAATCATTTCTTTTTTACTTCTTGTGTTTTAACATCTGTCTCTATTTCTGAGATGAAGTATTATAGCTATTTACACTATTTACATCATTCGTAAGCCGTAAGCTTACGGTCAAATCACGCTGAAACACCGGTTCTCGATCACCGAAGTTAAGCATTGTAGAGCCAGGTCAGTACTTAGATGGGGGACCGCTTGGGAACACCTGGTACTGTAAGACCCCAAAGTCCAACCCTTACCTCACAGTCGGTGGGGGGTGTAAACGGTAGTGTCAGAGCTATGCCGACCGGAACTTCGTTCCTGGTAGGGCCACACAAGGCGGACAGGTCTGACACACACGCCGGCTAACAAGGGCTCTGGTGAAAATCAAGGAGCGTCTGCATCGGTAACCGGCGGCTTCTGGTCGTTCCTGTCTCTGCGTCTGTGGGAACCCCGCGGCAAGCAAGAACGTTATCCGAGTAGGCCTGGGTACCCTACTTCTGTAATTTATCCCAAGAATCTTCTTCTCATAACAGGAAGAAGCCGGCTCAATCCGCCCAGGGTGAATGCCGCATCAGTACAGTACATCATTCGGACTGTTGTCCTCGTCTTAATTCCGTCTGCTCCGGACTTTATCAGTCGATATTCCGTGGAATTTCAAAACGTACCCTTTATTTATTCCCCGGGGCTATAATGTTTTATATTAATGTGTCATGCCTTTTTTCAGTAATAGCTAATTCGCTTTAGCAACTCAACTCTTCAAATTTTGTTCCCTCTCCTGTGGCCATAACTCAAAACTCTTGGATCAAGTCATTTTTTTGGATCACTCAACCAAAGCTTTTATCGACTTGGCCATACATTTCATTATACAGAGAAAACTTCTAGGTTACTCATGCAGAAAATATAGTCAATGCAATTGCAAAATTAATTATTTTATACCGTTAGTCATGGTATGGCTAAACGAATCATAATAATAAAAGTCTTTTTTTTTTATTAAAATATGGGTTTACTTTAGTTATATGTAGTGCGTTTATTTTCAAAGAAATCATTTAATTCATACTGTTTGATGTTTTTTTATGGTATGTCCTGTAGATATTTGATCCACTTTACATCCCCTCACAAATATTGACTCACGTATAAAATTGGCTTATGTTTAGCCATAGACTCAAGTATAAGTCCGAGAAATCAGATCCTGTAGACTAAGTCACGGCCAATGAAACATCAAATATGAATCCTGTATTGACTCATGTATAAAATGGTTAATGTTTATCAACAGACTCAAGTATAAGTCCGAGAAATTAGATCCTGTAGATTTAAGTTTAAACACGGCCAATGCTTAGCTATACATGCAAATATGAATCTGAAGAATATTGACTCATGTATAAAATGGTTAATGGACTTATTGTCCGAGAAATCAGATTTTAAGTTTAAACACGGCCAATGCTTAGCTATACATGCAAATATGAATCTGAAGAATATTGACTCATAAAAATGTCCACAGATAAGTCCGAGAAATCAGATCCTGTAGACTTAAGTTGAAACACGGCCAATGCTTAGCTATATATGCAAATATGAATCTGAAGAATATTGACTCATGTATAAAATGGTTAATGTTTATCAACAGACTCAAGCATATGTCCGAGAAATCAGTACTGTAGAAGTGTAGATATGTCAATGCTTAGTTATAAACTGAAGTATAAATCTGTACGCGTAGACTCAAGTATAGAAAAGATAACAGTTTACCAACTTTAGAATAATTGCAATGATTTTTTTTTTTTTTATAGATCTAGTATAAATCTGATTTATATTAACACACGACAAATATAAAATTAGAGGCCGATATTGAATGAGCTGGTAGGGGTTGTTAGGTCGTAGAATCAGTGAAAAACTTCTTTGGGTTGCCTTTTATGGAGTTTCAATGGATTTAAAGCTGTGTCTGAAGGCGTCGTTCTTCGTATAGAACCAAATGTCTTTATCTTCAATAAGAGTAAAATTTTCATAATTATCCGAATGTTTATGTCAGTCGCTGCCCAATTAGCCTTAATTATGCTGCTTGTATAAATAATTTCATCATATTTTCATAGCCCGAATGTCTTTCTGGTCGGTGTTAATTTCTTTAAATTTTCTGGTTTATACTTTTAACTACTGTTTTTTTTTTGTTGTTTTTTTTTTTCGATATCGCCTTTAAGTTAAACTATTCGACATTTGTTAGTAATTAATTAGCTCCCAGGAGTAATTGGTAATTTCATTTTATCTGTCTACAACAGCGTGTTATGCATTTTCAATGATGGTTTCTTAATCGTTTCCAAAGGCTAATCAACATGACGAATTAACGTGTGTTTGACCTCTCCAGATCTTTCCCCTTCAGTAAGAAGCAGGAACATTTCGTTAGAAACAAACAAAATAGAGGTGAACTGTTACATAATGTCGGTTCCCCTTATTTGGCACGGAACGCTGGACAATCTCCTCACAGATGAAGAAGAGATTTAAGGCAATAGAAATGTATCTCTACACAAGGATGCTGAGAATACCATGGACCGAATATATGAGAAACGATGAAGTTTTAAGAATGGTAACAAAGAAACTTACACCTTGAAAGATCATGTGGAAGTTACTAGGTCTCATTATGATGAAAGAAGGCTTAGAAAATTTGAAGGCATATTGAAGGCAAGAGTGACAGAGAAAAACAGCTCATAACCTACTTAACGTTCTTTTGTAAATAGATGGGTTTGGGAGAGATAGCAAAAAACAAAAGCTTCATTACGAGCTACAAAGGACATCATATTGTCGAGAGTAATGATCGCCTATGGCAGAAAATGATTTCAAATGTGCTTATTTATTAAAACTGCTCGCAAAGGTATAATAAAACGGAAAAAAAGTATTTTGCGCCAAATACGACACACGGACATACCCTAAATGTGTTATACTGAAACACACCTATTCTATTGATAATAGACTCTCCCACAGATAATAAGTAGTAGTAGCAGCAGTTGCCAGTGGAGCTCAGTGAGTTGGTGAGTCAGTCCATGTCGGACATTAAAGTATCAACCATCACAACTAGATTGCTGCGTCATTAACTATTATTTCAGGTTCCTAACGTTTTGTACGTCGAACCTTTTTTTAGGGCTGACTTGGTGAAATACAAGCCTCCACTGTGAAAACTACTCTACAACAAAATGCAACATCAATTATGACTGAAAAAAGGGCGAGACTTTGCTATAAGCGAATGCAGAGATAACAGCAAAAAAATGGAATATTCCAAACATGACATTCCTTGTGCCAGATAATGATTGATTTGTATTCTGTATGTACCGGGTTCCTTCGGGACGAAGGTGATCATGGCTCTCCACACTTTCTTGTCCTTTGTAACTCTTAATATATTTGGTCTTTTTGTTAATTCTCCCAAACCCTATTCCAACATCCATTTACTCAAGTTCACTAAGTATATTAAGGAAGAAAACGGTTTTGAACAAGTTATGATTGTACTGATCGGGGCAGCAACCTCTTGGTGTTCAGTCCCAGAGGAAGAAACTGCTCCAGTGGAACTTACATCTCTCTACGGAAATACGAAGGGAGTGAGGTTGGTTCGCTAAAAAAGCGCGTGGCATGACGGGTCTTAGCCCTGAAGGTTAGGATTGCTGTAACTAAGCAACGCAATTAATTTGAAAACTCTGCATGAAAATAACGATAAAGCAGTGATAGTATTGTGATGTTTCATCTTGGGGGAGGGGTTGAAGGGTGGAAAATAATTAGTCACCTACATGGACGGGGAGACGCTTTTGGACAGTATGGAGAGTTGAGAGTGAAAACTGGACAGCTATCAACCATATATAGCAACAGCCTTCTATGGCTCTTGTAAAGATAGAGAATATCTGGAGGAGTCTGCTACTTGCTAGATCAGTACAGTGTACTGACCATTTTTCCCAGCAGCTTTACCTATGGATCGTATGTACGAATTTCCCCGGAGGTCTGGATTCAGTTTAAGTCCCAACAGACGGTCAAAACACAGGGTTTCCCTGTGGGAGCATCCCTTGATCAAGATTTGTGATCTTGGTCCGATCGCCGATGGTGGAATGTTACGAGTTAGGTTATGCGTTGTTTTCCTTTGCCCCTCTTGCCTTCAACCTGTCTTGTGAGTATCAGACATTCCAAGCCCTCTTTCTTCATTCTTTTAGAAACTTCAACTGTCTATTCCTAATGTTAAGTATAAATTTCTTTTTTTTTTTAATTCCATTTTCTCTAAAACTTCGCCGTTGCTCACATATTCTTATCCTCAGAATCCTTTTGTAGAACCACATTTCTGTGGCTTCGTCTTTTCTTCATCTGTGAAGAGAATA